CAGCCTTAATAAATAAATAGAGGCCAAAAGCAGAGCTGGGCCCTAGGGTGGGAGCCACTAGGCTTCAGCACAGCCTTGTGAAGGTCAGCTGTGTCCCTTGGAGCGCTTTGGGGAAGCAAAAAAGTGTCCCTGCCATGGTTCTAGCATGTGACCCGGGCCTCAGGATGGAGCCACGGCATCAGGTGCTGGCTCAGGGCCCGCCCTGCCCTCTGACAGGACTGTGTGGGAAAGGACTTCTTGCTTTCCCCTGTCACCAGACCCAGGCAGCACATGACTCAGTGACCAGTGACACCCCCCTCACACACTGAACCCAGCAAAGAGGAACTTGTGGGGACAGATTCAGAATGGGACGCGCAGATTTGATGGCAGCAGAACTGCACTTGAGGGCACACTGAAAATCCCTGCTGCAGCCTGGTTTTATACCCCTGGCTTTTTATTCCAGAGAGGAAAAATATGAACCACCAGTGAAGCACCCCTCTGCAACTCTGTGATGCCAGAACTGTAATCAAACTTATTCAGGCCCCAAGACAAGCCCTACCATCAGAGCTTACAAACCATTTGGTAGAGTCCTTTCCCAAAAAACCCCACATGGTAAGCAGCCAGGCATCACAAAGAACCACAAAAAAAAAAAAAAAAAAAAAAAAAAAAAAAAAAAAAAAAAACCCCCCCTTTTTAAATAAAATGATGCGTTTTAAAAAAAAAAAAAAGAAAAAACAAAAAAACCCCCCATTTTGAATTAAATGATGCGATTTATAAAACAATGCAACTTTCTTGCAGCTTGCAGGAAAGCAGCACCTAAAATATGGGGGCATCAACACCCATATTCAGAATTTCTAAAAAGGTTTGGCCTAAGTCAAAGAAAGAATGTCAAATAATACCACACTTCACCTGTCTTTCATGCTGCATTTCCTATGGGCCTGACAATGAAAAGAATCCACATGGAAGTCAAAGCATGATGTCTCCAGGATGTGAGATAACCATGAGAGGCTGTCAACAGGATTTTGCGGGGAAATCTCATTTATGATTGAATTTCTAAGAGCTGCTGAGTACCAGAACTTCAGTCAAGTCTGAGATGAGCTTGAGACAATTTAGTCAAATACATTATACTTTGGTTTATGCCTGGGAGGAGGCAAAAAGCAACAGGCACCAACCGTGAAAGGGCACCTGGAATGCAGCTGTACCAGCTGGGGAAATGGAGAATGAAGAACAGCAAAACAGAAAGTGAGACTTGCACAGACTGACTAATGAGCTGAAAAAGGTGGCAAATAATGGCTCATGGGAAACTAACCTAGGAGGAAAAGGGATGTAGGGAAAGTTGTCATTTTATTACTGTGACAGCACAGAAATCCAGAGAAAGCACAGGAAATGCAGCAAGAGACTGGCAGGGCAAGCAATAAGCTCTACCTCAAACCCAAGAAGGAAATCCGAGGCAGATTACTATGGGTAAGTAGGAAGGAATGGCTTTAGACCTCTCAGATGTTTTTAGCCAGCTAAGCAAGGATGAAATGCATTCTAACATGGAAAAACAGCAGAGCAAACTCAAGATCACAACCCATGTCCTTAAAAACAGATGGAAAACCTGTGTGCTCTGTGCTTCTCAGCCTGGGTAAGCCCTTTGGGGGTGACATCTGTGGCCAGGCTGGGTCACTGTTCTTAAAGAAGAATGACACCAGGCCTAAAGTGGACTCCTGAGGTCCCTTTTAGCTGCCTTCCAGATTGTCATGGCTCATAATGGAAAGCAAGCCTGGATCTGAGGTGTCCTCATTACTAACCAACCACTTCTCAAGAAGTTCATAGCAACTGAGAGAAAGCATCTCCTCTCTGTTTGGGAGGGAAGAGCTTTTCCTGCCAGCCATACTCCTCCTGTGCCACCTGCTGACTGCAGTGCAACGCTGCACAAGAGTGTCCAGTGTTCATGGCTGGGATACTCCAAATTATATGGGAGAGGGATGGGGCAGAATGCCAGTCAGGGTCATGGTTTCCTCCAAAGTACACGAATACTTCGACCTTTCTATTTTTCTACCTGCTTGGGTGGGGATCCAACACAGGAAGTATCAAAAGCCCAGAAAATCTCCATGGCATCACTCTTGACTTTCAGATTTTAACCTGGCTCCCAGGGAGGCTAATTCAGCCTAAGCTCTTGGGGTTGTGGTTAAGATGGGGAAAGGAGATGGGACATTGCTCCTTTTAACACCTGCCTGTTTCCAGTTAAACTAGAAGAGTAATTCTTCACACTGAAACAATCAGCTGTGCTGAGCACGGCTATACCTTCCAACTACTGCAAGGGGTAACTCCCAAAGCACACTGCTGCAGCACAGGCACTTGGCATCTGTTCCAGCTGCCTGTGGCACTTCCAGATGAGCCCACAGCACAACCACAGGGAGCAACAGAGCTCCCAGATTTGAATTCCTTATTTACTGACTCACCTTCCCATTTTGTGCCGTTGCAGAACTGGAGGAAGCACCGTAAACACACACAAGGCTTTAGGAGCATTCTCTCCCCGGGATCAGATGGTGGCCAGCCTCACAGGAGCTCCCCAAATACATGCCCAAGTGCCTCTGTCAGAGCCAGGATGGTGGGACGGGAGCACACGGGTGTGGCTGAGCAGGTGCTCCGTTTCTCGCTGGAGATCCCCTGTCACCACACTAGGTGGCACAGCTGACAGAGGAACAGAGCTCCTGTGAGACACTGCCCTTCCCAACAACACCCCTGGCTGCTGCCTTGCTCACAGGGCTGGGAGAGCAAATAGCTGCACCCCTGTTTTGGTTTTGGTTCTGAAATGTGGGAAGGCTCAGGCTTGAGGCTCCTGATCTCGGGCCAGCCAGCTGGGAATTCCACAGAGTCACGTGTGGCTTTTCCAAATACTCTCCTGCTTTTCCAAGGCTCTCCCTCTTGCTGAGCAAACAGTGGTGCAACGGAGCCTCGTTCACAGAGCGCTGCTCTCCAAAGTAAAGCTACATCAGGAATGACTGCAGAGAAGTCATTCCTGACTGAAGTCTTGACTTAATTAGAACTAGAATTATGGCCCTGAGACTTTGAGAATTAGTTTCCTTGTCCCTCTGTTGTACAGACACCATGCTTGATTCTGATGAAAGCTTTTAAAAAATCTCAGTTGCATTTTGGAGCATTTCTGTTTATCTGCTTTGGAAATCTAAAGAGACAAAAGTCTCCAAGTTGTACAGGATACGAGCACTTGAAGAATTCCTAGAGGAGAGGGGACCAAAGCCTTCAAAGGGATAAGTTACTATCTGCAATGGTCCATGCATTTGCTTCACAGGACTGTGTTTGCTTGATGTCTCTCCTTTCCTACACTGGTTTATCAAATGTGCTCAGGGAAAGGAGGTTAGCAGCTCCAAACTCTACCTTTTCATCTGTGCTGAGGGCTGGCAGGGGGATGCCCTTCTAGTGTAATGCTACAATAATTAATGGGTTGTGGCTGCTCTGCTGCGGGGAGGTGACAGGGAAGCCCAAATTGCAGTGCACACATAGTACTTACAGAACAGCAGCCTGTAGGTGCCCAAACCGGCAACCCCAGCTCAGCAAGGTGGTGCACAGACACAGAGCAGGGAACTGGCTGTTTTGAAGGCTAGGGAAAAAAAAAGGAATGTAAGTGAACAGCAAAAATATCACCTACTCTGCAAAGTTTCAGTAGTTAGCACAGCCCATTACAGCCAAGGGTTTGTTCTCAGCACCAAGCCTGAGCAGCACCTTGAAGCACCAACAGTGGTAAAAGAGAATGCACCCAAGCCCTGAGTTACTGACAAAGTGCCCAGGCATGTCCTGGCTGCACAGCTCTTTCCTTCCCCCGTGTCACCGAGCAGGAGATGTGAGCAGCGCACTTTCAGCCCATGCCAGGAAGGCCCAGGACCAAAATAGATATTTTGACTTAAGCACCAGCTCAGCACTTTGCTGGAGGAGACGGTTCCTCAGCTACTGTGGTAAGCAAAGAAAGGGAAGATATTTAGATCATGAATTCTGTGTCTCTGCACAGCCACCCTCCTCCACGTCAGCCATGGAGGCTGCACACTTGTGCTTCTATAAATTCGATTGACATTTACTGTCCCGTTAAGCTGAGGGAGCGCTGCTCGAACTGACACTGAAAGATTAAGAAGTTCACCCACTGGAAATAGACTTACTGGGACATCCACTTAGCCATTCTCTTGTCTAATGAGATAGTGGGCAAAAGCTCATCAATAGGTTTTAGAGAGCCAGTCATGACCACACCTTTGATCAGATAAAGGGAAGGGATTTTCAAGAGGCAGCAAACAGAACTGAGTAGAACTGTCTCCCCTCACTCCTTTCCTGCTGTTAAATCTTTGGTGTTATAAATATTTTCACAGTTTGCCACTCCAGAACTGCCAATTCAAAATACAAACTCCAAGGTGCATTTACTAAATTTATCGGGTTTCTAGTAAGATTTATCCGTATAACCTCTCAATTCTGAGATGAGGTTTGACATCATCACTTCCAAGAGTAGTAAAATGAAGGTAAATTTAAGTAAACATCAAATATCCTCTGAACTAATGGACTCTGAGCTCCCGATAATACAAAAAGCTTCCTGAGCATAATACAGAAGACAGGAGAGCAGGGCAATGTTAAGGAATCCACATGTAGTCATTAAGAGTATGATGAAAAGGTTACAAAATCAGTAGTGAATTCATCTCACTTCTCAAGATCCCGGAGCAGGGCAGGGTTGTCACCAGCACGAGCAGCAAATCAGTCCCACTCAGCACACCCCTGTAGGAGCATCTGAGCCCACCAGCACTGCTAGAATTAAACTCTGCCCTGACAGGCAGGCTTGGGCTTAGATGCCCTCCACAGAGAAGCCTGTTAATTGTGAGAGAAGGCAGAGAACGGGTGTAGGTGCGCGAAGAGCAGAAACTTTCTCCGCTCTGACTTTGGGAGTTATGCCTTCCCACCGCCCCCGCGGCCCGGCCCCGCGCGGCTCCTCCCCGGATGCGGATCCCGGCTTAAAGCGGCTCCGGGGGGGCGGTCCCGGCCGGGTCCCGCTGCGGCAGCGCCCGGCCATGGCCCGCGGCCCGCCCGTGCTGCCCGCCGAGCCCCGCGGCTGGGGCTGGCTGGGCGCGGGGCTCTGGCCGGCGCTGCTCGTGGGGCTGCTGGCTGCCATCGTCGCCTGGTTCTGGTACGGCGACGGCGACGGGCGAGGCGAGGAGGCGGCGGCCGGCAGAGAGGGGCCCCGGCGGGCGGGCGCGGTGACCACAGGTAGCGGGGTGGGGAGGCGGTGCCGGGGTGTGCCGGGCTGCCCGAGCCCGCCAGGACTTGGGTTTGCCGGTGCTTTTAACCCGTTCTCCCTCAATGTCGCTTGCAGAGGATGCTGCGGCGGGCGGGGAGCCGGCGGCTGCTGCCCCGTCCGGCCCTTCGAATCCAGGAGGGGATGTTTCAAGGGAAGAGCTTAACCATGTCCCGAGCGAAGCTGTGGAGCTGGAGCAGCTGATCCCGAAGCGCCGTGTCACGGACCCCGGGGAACATCCAGCTGATATGGCCGGCAGCCAGGCAGGAGAGCTGGAAGCCCAGGTGGGACAGGCAAGTGACGGATGGTGCGTGATGAACTTGGCCTCTGACGATGAGTGTAAAGACAGAAGCGAGGAGCAGCCAGCTGAGAGGAGGGACTTGGACCATGAAGAGTGGGAAGTTGTTTCTGAGCTCCTGGTGGAAGGGAAGGATGGCAGCATGGAAGACTCAGACAGCAAGGAATGGGAAGCAGGAGACTGCTGCGACGGGGACTCGAAAGCAAAGCGAGTTGCAGCCGTGCCCCCCATGTTCCAGAACATCCACGTGGCTTTCCGTGTGCACTACATCACCCACTCTGAGGCACAGCTCGTCGGTGTCACCGGGGACCACGAGTGCCTGGGCCAGTGGCACAGCTACGTCCCCCTCAGGCGTGACAAGGACGGCTTCTGGTCCAAAACCATCAGTCTGCCCGTGGACACCAGAGTGGAATGGAAATTTATCTTGGTGGAGAATGGCAAGGTCAGACGCTGGGAAGAATGCGGTAACAGGACCCTAGTGACTGAACACGAAGATCAGATTGTTCATCAGTGGTGGGGGTACCATTAACGGGAAGGTGGAAGCTGCTGAGCTAATGGCAGGCCTACCTAGGTGAACCTCTGAGCCCCTAAACCTTAGGGGGGCTCCCCTTCTCCTCTAGGAGACCCTCTGGAGTGCAGAGCTCTGGAAATCCCATATCGAGCCACGTAAGCAGCAGATCTCTTTAGGAAATCTTTTGGCAACCTGAAAAATCAGCTTTGAGCGCGCGCTGAAGAGACACAAGGTAGGCTAAGAAGGCATGAGCAGCATTCCAAGCACCTGCCTGTCCAGGTGGATCTGGACCCTGGACTTGAGTTAGTGCTGCTTTGAGTGGGGCTATGGGCTGCATCTTGGGCTTGGGAAGCGTACTGGGAGGTGTGGTTACCAGCACTGTAACAGGAACTTAAGTGTTTTAATTTATGTAATGTATTAAGGAAACAATAAACATTTTCAGATTGACAGTTCGTTATCAGTTGACCAGTGACCTCACTCATTTTGGTAACTTTGATCCAAGTGGGCCACTTGACCTGAAATCTTAGTGCTAAGGAAGTGCTGAGAAGCGGCCCTCCCTCTTGGAGTAACAAAAGGTTGAACCCCAAAATAGTTCATTCTCTACCCCCTACTGTCCAGCAATCATCTCGGCTCAAATGAAAGGCTTGGCAGGCAGCTCCACTCCTGCTGAGGGGAGAGCAAAGGTCACAAAGGACTGTCTCGGCTTAATGAATTACTTTGTCAGGGTGGGAGCAGGCTTTAAAAAAACCTGGAATGCTGGGACAGCCAGGGAATAGGGTTTGGGCTGGAACAGGTGGCATACTGATGAACAACACCACAGTATTGTTAGCAAATTCTTGGCTTAAACTTGTAAATATTTTTTAAGACTAAGCTTTTCACCTTGAATTTACTTTAAGTTGTGGCCTTCTAGTAAGCCAGATGAAGTAGAATACCTTCAGCTTCAGCTAGTTGGTGTCTTTATATGATAGAAGCAGAAAGCTGCCCTGCTTCTCTGCCTTTTGTATTTTTGGGTAGAAATACATGCTGCTGCTTGAGCAAGCTCCTCTTTCCATAATGCTGAACCAAGCTCTGAGAGACCAAGCCTGCAAACAGCCCTTCCCTTGAGTGAGCTGGGTCTGGGAGAGCAGAGTTTTGTAGATCTGCAAGTATACAAATTAAAACTTCGGTTTGGAAGAAGTACTTGAAAAAGCACATCACTAAATGCCTCTGCTAATTCCTTCCTGCTCTGTGTGGTGGAGCAGGATGTGTGAAATAGAATGACTCTGGTGAAAGACTGGAAGATGAACTTCAGAGCTGACCTCCTGCATCTGGTGGGGTAATGGACATCCATGTGGTTGGGACAGTGCTAGAGCTGCTGGGAAGCACAAGTGTTGGCCATGTTCTTACTGGGATTGGAATCCAGCTGTTCGATGAGAGTGGGTTGGTTTGCCTGCTCCTGCAGACCTGGCTACAAAACAGCTCAAGGAACTCCTGGCAGGGTCTTGAGGGCAGCGTGAGGAGGGAGATAGACTTAGGCCAAGAACAAGTGCACTGGCAACTTGGGATTTTGATTTTTATCCAGTAGAACAACCTCAGCTGCATTCTTAGCACTTGGCTTTTCTAACAAATTGAAGTGGATACTACAGGTAATATTCAGCAGCAGTAGAAGGTGATCTTCAGAAATCCCTCAAGTCAAAGCTGCCGCCTGAGCGTATTAATGCACACGCCTGAGGCTTGTCTGAGGAGATTAACTGTGCTTTTAGATTAAGTTATGCACTAGAAAGCTACTTAACCTATGCTAGAATAGGTTCTCTAATGCAATGGTGAACATGTCAAACAGACCAACCCCAAAAAGTCTTTCAAATCGAGAACAATTTATTTTTTTTAATTAAGCACCCGGCGCTTTGATCCCACAGACAAGTCACAGTCCTTGTGATTCTATCCCCTTGCTGAAGGATGAGCTAGGGTTTCTACAAAGATCTGCACTAAGCTTTTGCTAGAAAAGCCTCTAAATTATTGTGCCATTCCCAGCAGCACCTATATAAATTAAATGGTTTGGGTATGGCAAAAGAAATAAATCTGGATTTCAGTTTTTCTGGAGGAACCTATTAGTATTTTCTCCAACTTCACGGGTGTTTTCTCATTACTGAACAATCTATTTCCTCAAAGGTGAAAGCAGATCTAAAAGTTGCCTTGCTGCATAAAAAAGATGCTGCTGGAATGGCTGATAGCTGTCTATGCCTTGTCCTGGCTGTGAGACCAGTGCAGCTACACGTGAGAAACAACTTATTGTTGACATTCCTGTGTGGATCTAACAGCCAGTGGCTCAGGACATCTCCAAGCAAACAAACTCTCACTCACAGCTTGGCAAAGCCTGCAACCACAGAGCTACCTTTAAAGTTCACCTGCTCATACCCCTGACAGCCAACTTCTGTCAAATCAGACAACTTGATTACTTTTATGTGAAACACAAACTGCTCCTTAGTTTGGTGCACAAATGCTGAATGCTGCAGCTGGATGGTGAACTGTGCAAGCAGCCTGAGGAGACTGGGCATGAACCATTCTAAAGTCTCCTACAAAAACCTTCACTGCAGCTATTTTGCTTTGCAAAACCTATGCCCATCCCACGTTGTCTCTGGGAATTAACTCACCCTTTGGAGCCTCTCCACGTATCAGCCTGCTGTTAGGTTTTCTCTGCCAGGGGCTGGTTGCCATCTGTGGTGTCCTTGCTGTGGGCAAGCTTGGCCCAGCAGTCCTGCTGTGCCATCCACCTGCAGGACATGGAATAACAAGTCTGGGGCTGCTTGTATTCAAGCTGCTCTGAGGCTCGTGTGTCTACTTGTTCCTTGCCTGCTGCTGGTGGCAGGGGGGAAGCCCAGACCTGTCCCAAAAGCTGCTGTTTTGGACTGGCAGATGTCCCTCCCTTCTCTCTGGCTCTCTGACCCCTCCACCTGCTCCCTGCCCTTGGCACGCAGCTGCAGCTTCTGAAACTCTTTTTAGCTTGGCTCCTTGAACACAACTGGGAGTGCACTTACCAGTGACTTTTTTCAGGGGTTCTTATTCTCTACACCTGACTCTCCCCTTAAGGAAATTTTGGAAGGCTGTGTGTGGCAAGTCCAAACTGTGATACATATGCCATCTAAACCAATCCTTCCATTTTCAGTGCAACTGATTTCTAGGAAAGGGGAGATGTGTTTACTACTGTTTTGACTGAGCTTGCAACACTGTTGCAAAAAGTATCAGAGTGCAAAAATTACTAGGAAAACAAACAAAAAAATTCCTCCAATTGAAACACTGTTGCCAATACCTGAGGACAGCTTAAGAACAGCTCAGTAATTTCTCCTCCCCACACAAGACTCCAGCTAAAGTTTGATGAGTCCATTCTCCTTAAATGAATCATGGTACAGTATGGAATTCAAGCTTCAACAGGAAGAATTTAGCTTAGACATAGGGAGAACTTCTTCCCTGTGAAGGTGGTGAGGCCCTGGCACAGGGTGCCCAGGGAAGCTGTGGCTGCTCCATCCCTGGAAGTGTCCAAGTCTGGTTTGGATGGGACTTAGAGCAACCTGGGAAAGTGGAAGGTGTCCCTGCCCGTGGCACGGGGCTGGAAGGAGATAATCCTTAAGGTCCCTTTCTACTCTGTACTTCCTGCTCATTTAAAATAAAAGCTATAAACATGAGTTAAAAAATTGTAAGGGCTTTTATTATTAATATTTAATACCAACTTATTTTAAACACAATGTACCTACATGAAAGTGATCACTAATGAATACAGAGGCTTCACTTGGACAGCTTTCTCTCCTTTTCCTTGGATTTCTTTGTTTTCACCTCCTGAGTTCTGATCACGGAGACGTGGCTGAAAATAGCAGAAGAACAGATTAGCTGAACACCACCTTATGTTCCAAAGGCTGAGGTCTCAGGTGCAGCCAGCTGAAGCTTCACAAACCATTACAAGTTATGCTGTACCTACAAAGCCCTTAAAATGCAGCTTCCATTTCCAATTCTTGATGTGAATGTAGGAAAAACACTGAGGATGTTAATGGATGGCAAAGAACAAAAATGACAACACTGATCTTTGACTTATTTATATAAATAACTTGATTAGTTTTACCTACATCAGGTCACTTGTATGTCCCTGACACAAATGCACTGTGCCATGAGGGGAAATAATAATTTCCCAAATCTGTGCAATGAGACTTGAAGGAGAAAAGGGGAAGAGACTGGTATATGCTATTAAAAAAAAGTGCAGAGAAAATAAATCCCATCTCATTTGGCATCCTACCATCCCAGGAGCTAAGTTTTGGAAATCTTGCAGTTTCCATGAAGGTGTCATCAGCTTGGCAAAAATTCCCTGTAATTGGCTGTGACAGCACACGGGGACAGCCCTGAGCAGCTGCCGTGTTTGACATGCTAAGGATCCTGAAGCTCATTAGAGTTAAGGGGCATTGTGGAGTTAATCTAATTACTCTCCCAGGAGCAGGATAATGCACAAGTGGGTACTGCTGGTAAAACTAAGTGTGTGCTAGTAAAAGCACAGGTAGTGCTCCAGCAGGTACCAAGAACAATTTCTGGAGAATGTGTGTTTTTTCAAAAAAAACAGGAATATTTTTGGTAAATACTGAGACCTTTTTTTTTATCTGTGATGACTCCACCAGGTTTTGCAGGCTTTCCATCTTGTTCTGTAGCCTCTTTGGTGTGGGCTCACAAGCTAAAGAAAACAGTAATAATATTATCACCAAGAATAATTAAAAAACCATTATAAATTATCTAAACATTTACCAACATTTTCAGTGAAATTCACAACTTGACTAAACATGTTACAGGAGCCACAGCAGCTACTACAAGCATTTTTTACTGCAAGTATTGATGTCAAGCATCCTTTTAATTTGAATAAGGCAATTGACCAGGCCTTAAAATTAGCGGTGCATGGAATTTATCTCCTGATTGCATAATGGATTAATTAGCTGCTATGCTTTACTCACAATTCACTTATCACAGATTAAACCTTGTGCCTGAACAGAACCGGGGGAGGGTGAAGGCACCCTGATCGGGATGTGGGATTGGATGTACCTGTTCCTGGGGCTGTGGCTGCTCCCTGTGGGGAGCTGGGCTGTGCTCAGGTGAGGCAGCAGGGCCAGCTGCAAGCTCATCAGGTGGGCTAGTTATGAGCAAGCGTCCTGGATTTGCCTGGGGGAGGATGTGCACCCAGGTGCTGTCGAGCAGGTGGATGCATTTCCTTGGAGGGGTCCAAGCAAAGAGCACGCACCTGAGGAGGGATCCCCGTGGAAAAGCCTCCTTACAAAACATGCTTGTTTCTGTCCAAGTCGTTGGAATGTCAGAATGGCTTTTGTTCTGCTCCCTGTTCCTTGTTTACTGCCCAAACAGGGAATGTCATGGCTGGTTGCAGCCCAAGACTCTCTGCCCATTACAAACTCAACTGCTGCTCAAGTCTTCTACATAAAAAAACCCTACTTGTAGCTCTTCTGGAGACTAGGAAAATCCCTGGATGCTGCAGTTGGTTTGCTAGAAGGTAGGCAGTAACTACCCAGGAAATTTTGTTTAATACTCACAAGTACCAAAAGAATATCCAAAGCAGTTACTCCTCACAAGGAACAGAGCCTATCTCTGAGGCACAGTGGCTTAAATTCCACATAGAGAACAGTATCAGTGTCCACAGGCAATTTTCACAGAATGCATAAACCATGGGCAGGAAAAGAAAAGGTAGTTAAGATTAATATCTTCAAACCCTGCTGCTCAAAGCCACATCCTCTTATTTCCTTTAGATAACAAAATTCATGTTTAAAAGATACTGACCCATCCAGTACTTGGAAGGAAACCAACAGCATTTCTGATTCCTCTAAAAAGCCCATCCATAACTAAACATCCAAATAAAGTACTCAAGAGCCTAAATGTGGGCTCCAAAAATGTGACAATTAGCTATTGATGCTAATTAGAGAAGTAACATGGAAGTTATCAATCTTGTGTGTGCTCATGACAGCCTCTGAGGAGCTGCTTTCCAACAAGATACAGATTTTGTAGCAAGTGCAATAAAGACCTTTTAGTAATAGCACCTGCTAAGAGGTATTTGAGTAAATTGCCAGGAAAAGATGCTGTATTGGGACTATATTCATTGTAATATTCTGTAATGTTCCAGTCTGACAGGGAAAACTTACCAAGGGATGTAAGGAGCAGGGAAACATCCTGGGGCTGAAGATCTGCGGGATGTGAGCAGGAAGGACCCCTGAAAGCAAAATGAGGGCAAAACCTGCATTCTGGAAGGGTTATGCTGAAGTCTGGTCATGCTAGCCAGCACCCACAGTGAGGATGTGAAGCTCTCAAATGGAGTCTCCAGGTCTTATCCATGGAAATAAAAAGCAAATAATGTAAATATGTTTCAGAGCTCTTGCTTAGAGGGATGAAAGTGACATGAAAGCTTTGTTTTATAATCCCCAGAAAGCTCTTAGCATTATGAATAAAACAATACAAACAAGCTCAGGATTTGGGCTGTATCAAAAAAGCCTTAGAAACTGAACCTCTAATGAGTAATGTGAGAAGCAGGTTACTCAGCTAAGTGAAACTTCTCTCTGCCTTAAATGTGCTTTTCTGCCATGCTTGCAGTAGCAGCCTCTCCAGCTGCAGATTTGATTTAATCCTAATCAGAATTCATGAACTGCATTTTCTTTTATGAAGTATCCTTATGTTCTGGATTAGAAACATCAGAATTTTTGCTGTATTGATTTTTCGACTTCATGTACTGCTGTCATTATCATGTGTAAAAAAAATAAAAATCCTGCATTTGGGTATTTACATATGGCAGGAAAAGAAGAAAGGAGTTCTGTACAGAAATAAAAGCAAGCACTGAAGGCAAATGGTGTGGTCACTTATTTCCCTTCCACCTGAAGCATCTTGGCAAACAACAGAAGCTTTGGAAGCTTCCAGATTATCTCAAGCTCATGTGTAAACCTGACCTTGCAAAAACACATCCCACACTGCTCCTGAAGCATGTCAAGAGCCAGGTCCCAGTTTCAGAGGGCACTGGAAGCACACAGCACACAACAGAAATAAATCTATTATTCTTACACTGTTCTCCTCGTGGTTGTTAAAGGGATTTTCTCCCACCATGGCTGCTGAGATTCATGGAGGAAGCTTCACTGTCTGAGCTTCTTAATTCTTGAAGAACCCTCTTCAGATCCTGCAATGCTTCTTCCTTCAAAATGTCCAGCTTGGTAGGCTTCTGAAACAAAACAATTAAGTTTAAAAGTATTGACAAAGGCACTCTGATGCCAATTCTTAGCTCAGCTCATCCAAATGCACGTATTTTCTCTGTTTTGTCTCTTGTTTTGTCCTTTTTAACCCGTGACCCCAGGTCTGCAGGGCACAGAGACAGGGCTGAAGGGAGACACAGGAGCACCTGGGGGTGTTTGCCAGGCAAACTCTGCAGCAGCTGAAAACCCCCAGATTGCCACAGCCATCCTGGACATCAAGTGCAATATTATTCTCATTTTAGTGCTCAGGACTCGAGGCCAAGGCCTGGTTCAAAGAATCCTTTGTTTTGGTGCAAACTGGATTTTTCACTGCTGAGAACAGGATTTTTCAGCATTTCATATGTTCAAAGCACTGTTCCCACTGACCTTTGCTCCATCTGGTGATGGAAAAACTTTGCTACCCCATTTTAATTCTTTTTAAAAAAGGAGTAACTTTTAATGTGAACACACTGGTTTCAGCAGGGCTTATATGGGGAACAAATCCTCAGCTTCATAATGGGTCAAAGTGACACTGAGTCAGACCAAATCCTCCTTTTCCACATGGCAGCTAGGAAACCAGACTATCACCCAGCAGAGTCTGCCTCAAGTGTTGGAGCTGCTTCCTTTTGTGCAATAACTAATGATGCAGGAAACCAAGAAGATTAAAGTAGACTTTGATTCAAGTGCTCCTGCAACCTGTTGGGTACTCACTGTAGTACTAAATTAAAAATAAGTCCCTTTTCCTTCTTTATCATCAGAAGTATAAATTGATGAACTCTGGGAAAAGAGAATGGGAGTGCCTGATGCTGCAGGGATTTCACAGAAGGAGCTATGCTTTGTTCCTTGATGTAAATGCTTGCCACCACATCAGGAAGCAAAGCAGAAAAGATTCCTGAAAAATGCCTGCACTAATTTGTGGCCTCCTATAGGTTTTGAGGCTGAAATGAATGAAAATACCTGGGAGATACATCAAATCACTTCTGGAGATTTATACAAAATCTACAAAGAAAACAGCAAAAGAATTACATATTTTTTTATGAGGGGTTAGAGTTGATGTTTTTTGTAATGAAAATTTAAATCTAAAGGTAGACGTACAAAACCAAAGGAAGAAAAATGATGTGGATAAAACTGATCAAAATCAATGAAAGCCAGCTTGGAGGAAGATTCAAATATCAAGCAGATGATTAAATGTATCAACAACTATGCACAAACCTATTTTCACTGTCAAATGTGATTTACAGCAAAAAAAAAAAGAGTGAAAACCAAACTGCTTACATTTCAGTACTTACAAACTTCATACCTCATAAATGTTATTTGTGGTAGATGTAAAATAAACTCTTAGCACAGTCTATAGGACTTTATAGTTGTCACATTGTTTTTTTATACCAAAATAAAAAAAAAAATCTGACACAGCACATGTGAAGCTACAGGAATTATTTCACTTTTGGTGTTAGGAGTTTGCTGTCTGAGCAGATGTTCTCCCACACAGAAATTCCATGTTATTTTTGCTGTTTGGGACAGCAGAGAGCAGGTGGGACAGAAGTACAGTGTGCTGCAGCTTCCCTGGAGCAGAAGCTGAGGAATAGCCTGGGCCTTGAGCTCCTGGGGAAAAACAACACAAGTTCCCCACCTTGGTCATTCAGCCTCTGAAGCACTTCTTGTACTGCTTATGTTGAGCTGTATTTTGAATGTGGCACTTTGTTCCTCTCTCAACGGCAGCAGCTGGGGTGGGTCACTGAAATGAATGATAATTTCTTGTGACAAAACTGCTGCTCCCATTTGTTTACAGCAGTGTTCTCACCACAGCCTGCAGAGTCCATGGTTAAAAATAAGGCAAAAGTAAAAAATCATCCTCTATCCATCTAAGCAGTAAAGACAGGGATTGGGCTCCATCTAATATTTTGTTGTCATTACTGTAAAGAGCACTCAAAAAACCTGGAATTATGGACATGAGGCACAGAAGGGGCACGAAGGAGCTGTGCTAATTTCTGGGGATTACACTCTCTGCTGTTCCCCCTCTGACAAAGAAAGAAGGTGCACACAGGGGTGCTGTGTTTATCTCCTGCTACCAGCAGGGAAATATGCAGGATGCCTCTGCTGACAGGCTCACAGCTGCTTACACAAGCCTGGCAGCCAGAATGTGCACTCCAGAACATCCCAAAAGGGGACAATATCCTTCCAGAGCCAGTCCCAGACCTACTGAACACCTCTGGGATTAGAAAATTGAGCTGTGCTAATGAGGCAAGCAACTCAAGGTTTGAAAAGGGATGGCAGAGGACTTGGCTGACTCACCTTTGCTCAAAGTTGCTGTCTACCTTCCCTTCCCTAAAAAATTTACTCAGAAAAAGGGCAAAAGCAACCATACCCCACAAGAAAGGTAAGCTTCCAGTGACAAGAATTTAAAGTAAGAAATGCTACACTTCAGAGGAGGTCTCACAATTCTTTTGTATTTTTTTTATTGGATTTGAGAAGGACACCTTGCATAGCAATTTACATCCAAGAAAGTCAGAATCCTGAAAGGACTCCTCCTCCTGGAAGAGGAGCAGCCCACCTGCAGAGCATCTGGGATTTCTGTGCCAGTCCTAAGACCACACCTAACCTTAGGGGTCAGGTATGCCAGCAACAGAAATCTCACCTAAAAAAATGTAAAGGGCAAATGAAACAACACCACTCTCTGTAAAAATTGCCTCATGTGGAACAGCAGAGAAAAGCAGCTGTGCCCAGAGTCAGTGGAAGGTTCTGCAGCCTGCACAAACATTTGCTTTCAATTCCCTGTAGTTTAGACTTCCCTGAGCTAATAAGGACTAAAACAAGAAAACTCTTAATGAAAATAGAAGCCTTTTACTATTAAAAAAAAATCTTCAGGTGGGGGTCTTACAGCACATGTGAAAAGAAAGTATTAAATCCCTTCTCTTCCCAGGTGACTGTAGAGGAAAACACCCAGAAGTCTCCCTGAACTGAGAGTTTCCTTACATTACCTTCTCAAGGGCTGTCTCCATCTTTGATAGCTTTTCTTTCAGCTGTTTGTATTGTGATCTCAGGATCTCCAGGTCCCCAGCAATCCTGATATTTTCTGCTCTAATACAGCTCAATTTCTCACTTAGTTTATTATTTTCTTCCCTGAGGTAATGCTTCTCCTGAATTTAAAACGAGGACATAGTATGAGTCAAAAATTGCTAAATTATAGACATTTATATTCTGTAGATTTTATTCTCATCTTCAAAATACCTGAACTAAGCCTTTGAGAAGCTTAGATACTGCATCTTGCACCAAGATGATGCCCTGTAACAAGAAGAAAGGCCTTACAAGGAAAAGTGCAAATGGACTGCCCTCAATGAAACAAAATCTCCAATTTTTGACCCACGTTGCAACTGGAATTTTAATCTTCAGGATCCACAGGATGCAAAACCAGTGAGGAAATAGGACAGGTTACAGTGAACAGATATAAATGGTCATTCATTGAAATACAGCTCTTGTCAACTGAGTGATTTCCTCACAGAAAGTGAAAAAGGACCCACAGTGACAGACCCCGAGTTAACATCCAGAACTGCCTCGGAATCCAGAGGGGAAGCACTGAGAGACAGGTTACAGTGAACAGATATAAATGGTCATTCATTGAAATACAGCTCTTGGCAACTGAGTGATTTCCTCACAGAAAGTGGAAAAGGACCCACAGTGACAGACCCTGAGTTTACATCCAGAACTGCCTTGGAATCCAGAGGGGAAGCACTGAGAACCAGGGTCAGAAGGATACAGAATGCCAAAGTTGGCATTTTCAGGAAGAACTGATATGGAAGAGCCTGATTCTCACTGCAACTACTCTCAAAGAACAAATATAAATTGACATCTGTCTCTGGGCAGAAGGCTGATTTCCATGGACACCAAGCAAAACTATTTTTGGTCCTTCACGGGCTGACTGTGCTTTTGCTCATGCCTTTCTCCCAAGATAAATCTCTCTAAATGCAGTGAAATTCTTTCAGAAGGAGTTATTGCAACCTTACCTGCATTTGCCATTGCCTCTTCCAAGAATTTAATCCTGCTCTGTAGTGCATCCATCTGTCCTCTCTTGGCTGTGATCTGCTTCTGCATTCTTGCTGCAGCTTCCACAGCTGGAAAACACAAAGTTAATTCTCAGTGAACAATGAGGATTGTGATGCTTACAGATATTCTCTGGCTGATAAGACAAATGTGTGTGATTTTTGGGAAGTTCAATCCACACTTACTATTGCCATCAGATCCCTCTATAGTCTTCAGAGCAGTCCTGGCCTGTTTCAGTTCAGCTTGGGGCTCATTTCAACTGCATTTTCAGTCTGTTCGCAGTATTTTCCATTTCCTTGACTTCACCCTGATCTTTCCTCTTCAAATCTTCAAATTCCTCTGGTGAGGGCAAGTAAAGATTGCAATTAGAATGTCCAAAAAAAAAAAAATTTTCTAGACTAAGATCACTGATTTTATACATCTGTATAGATTTTAATAATATATCTTGATGGGGTTTCCCACACATTTGTTGTGAAAATGTGGAAGTTAAAGCATCAAATAATAACATGGTAGTAAATTTGCAACACAACAAAGTTTCACTATAATTTGGTCATAGATGGTTAATGGGATCTAATACTGCTGTTACATACCTCTCCTGAAAAAAAGGGTCAGGTTGCTATTCTGTGATTTACACAATCTGCTTTTTCCATCTCCTGACTCATGCAGTTTTAAATATTTTTGCTCACAGTGAGAGGGGCCATTAAGATTGTGTTGCCCCCCTTTCAGTGCCAGAAGCCCACATAGCTCCCTGGAACAATCTGGCCATCCTGTGCTGGCAGGAACCTCACGCAGTACCAGCAGCCGTATTTGGATTCGGCCAGCAGGCTGCTTTTTTATTTTTAACATGAGCCCAAATTAGCAGCTGTGGGAGCTGAGCTGAGGCTCCCTACCTGTGAGGCCAGCTAGCTCCCTCTGGCCAGCCTGGAGATCCTGCAGGAGCTCATCTTTCTCCAGTTTTGCATCCTTCAGTGCCTGGAGCCTCTTGGTGCATGTGCTGAAGCTTTTCCAGCTCCAGCTTGCTCAGCTTGGCATTATTCCATTTCACATATTCTGGTTTCTTTCTCATCCTTTGCACTCTGCTGACATAAAAAACAACCACGTGTAATGTATATAATGATATGAAATAACCACAAAGATGTGTGGACACCGCTACTTAAAATCCCAGTTTGGGGGCAAGAAGGAAAACCAGAGTGAAACAGCCCAACTGTTTGTGTGAAAATTGCTAACCCAGGCAGAGAGGGTGCAGCAAAATTGGATCTGATGGCTTTAAAGAATAATTAACCTTACCAGGTGTAGCTCATGAACATGATTGCCATTCTCTTGCAGCAGCCCCACCATGTACACTCAAATGCCTCCTCACCAAAAAGAATTAAATTCTGTCTGGAGTGATTTTTCTTCTGAAGATGGAACTACCACATCCTGTATTTCTTGTCTGAGAAATAACCGGTGTCCTCAGCTTGGAATTCTGAGTGCTGCCTGTCTGCTGCTCCTCAGTAACACTTTGTATTTCTGGTTCTGTTCTGGCACGAACCTCCATCTCATCGAGGTCATTCCAGCCTTTTGGCAGCTGCTTTTCACCAGAGATTTATTCAGTGGTAATGTTATAATATTATCCTGCTCTGCCCACTAGCTGTTAGAATTCCAGGGGCATTGCCTGACCTTCTTCAAAACCACAGTATCAGCACATTAAGGCAGAGATTTGAACCATAAAACATTTACTGTCACAAAGAGACATAAACACAGCATTGTTTGCACACCTTAAGCTCTTCTGCTTTGAGTTTCCAGTCATTTATTTCCTTTTTTCAGCTGGGATTTCTCCACTTCCACTGCTGCAACAGTTTGGTCGTGCTGACCCATGATTTGTGTCGTGTTAGCAACCTGCTTTTGGAAGACCTCCGTGATTCTTTCCCTCTCCAACACACGCGGTTTCAGCGCCTCCCGCTCCGACTGCGCCTTGTGTGAGCAGCCCTCTTCACTCCTGGCGTGCTGGAGCTCCTGCATCCTGCTGGGAATATGCAGCTCCCTGATTTCCTGGCCGCCAGCCCCAAGGGCTCTCTCCTTCTCCTGCAGACAGGCCACATTTTTAGAAGGAGTTCTTGCAACAAAGGAGATCTGAGCCCGCCCCAAGGGCTCTCTCCTTCTCCTGCAGACAGGCCACCAGATCTGAGCCTGCTTGCTCAGCAGCCTCCAAATCCCCCTGCTTGGCTGCCAGACGCTTCCTTGGTCATCCAGACGCTTCCTTGGTCATCTCCAGCTGCACACTCAAGGAGCAGATTCTTCCAATGCTTTCATTTTCTTACTCAGCTGCAGCCATCTGAAGAATAACATCATCATCAGCCGAGAGATTTGTTTATTTTTACCTTTTGAATGCCCCTGGAACGTTTGTGTTTTTCTGTAGCGCACCTGAGTTGTAGAGAAAAATTAGGTCAGGATGCTCTGGCTCTTGTCCCTCCATTTTAATAACTGAATAGAATATTGGTTTTTTAAAAACAGGAAAAGAAAAATGTTAAACTGATGTAAAAAAAATTAATCAAGTGGCAATGCTAATACAAAATTCAGAGCACTTGAGGCTAAAGAAGTGATAAAACTTGACTGGTTGCTTTGTGAAGCTGGGGAAAAAACAATTACATGAATAATTTATTATTGATTTAATTCCTGCAAGCAGCAATATGCACCATTTGAACCACAGGCAACTGTGATTCAGAAACACAGTTAACAGTGCAAAGCACAAGCAGAAGACAAGAGTGAATTTCCTGGTGAGAAAATTTTCAACAAATAATGGATTGAGAAAATGTACAATGTCTGAGTTAGCTCAAGCCTATGGTTTGGTAGAAAATAAAGGAATCAACTGGATCTTTATTCACAATGCAAAGAAGGTTATCTAATCACAGCTCATTTTTGAGGGGCTGCAAGTCTGGAAAAAAGGGGAACGTAAAGGCAGTGCCTACTTTGTCAGAAGGAATTCTGCCCAGCGCTCACTGGCTCATAAACACAAACTTCATTACATTTCCATTTAATACTGCATGAAGTAAAGCATTATGAAGGCCTTGAACACTTACAGACATGTAATGTCTGAAAATACCACACTCAACAATTTGTTTGGTAGATCTGGCAGCATGAAACTTGCTGGAAACGTACAAAACCTCATTTTGGAGGATTAGAGTCAAAACCACCAACCTGGCACTGCATCCTCATTTCCCTCAGTGCCCTTTCCATGCTCAGCAGCTGCATGTTTCTGTTGTCCAGCTGCCTCCTGAGCTGCTCCATGGTGATGCTGTTCTCTGTGTTCTGATCCCAAAATCACTTGTTCTGCTCTTTTTCTAGGCTGAGCTCTGTGTCTTTTTTGTGGAGTTCAGTCTATGAGAAATTAAAGTCATCTCTCTCCTAAATCAATTCAGAAATTTTTTTTCTTCTCTCAATGCTAATTTAAAATGTAACTCATGTTAAAAACACTAACACACACATTTCAGAGCTACTCATTTCAACAATATGAATTTCAAGTGTGGCCCAAAGAGCATTACCAATGGGCATTTCTGCTAATCATAACTTCTGCTGCTGTTTACTGCTTGAATATTTTTCAAGGATAAGCCTTGCAAAATACGTGTTAAAGGATCAAGATTCCTTAGCAGAGGGATCTAAACTGTGAGGTTAAAGTGGAGGTAGCTCAGCATCCTCATATGATTTGCACAGGTTTCTGTGGCTTTGAATTTATGATGAAGCCTTAATTCTGAATATCCCCCACCACTATTGGCAAAGGCCCTTGGGCCTTTCACAGCTAATTCAAACTTTTAGTTATAAACAATCCTCAAAGTTAATTAAAAGGGGGAAAAAAAGCAAGGTGCAAATTTGAACACCAGAAGCAAGGAGAGGCTTTTAGAAAGCAAGTTTTTTCAACGCTGTCACTTTGTTTTTACCAACAATTGATGAATCTGGTCATGTGGATTTCCAGGTTCTTGGCCATGTTGTGCCTGGCCTGTGTGAACTTCTGCTCTCTCAGAATGAGCTAGGTGCAACTGCTTCTCAAGGTCTTGGACCTAAAAAAGGGCAAATTTTCATGAAGAATTCTCTTAAAGCATTCTATTTAAACAGAATTGTCTATCTCTTCTGGTTTTCTTCTAGGTCCTACTTGAAACAAGTACAAATTTTATCTTTTGGCCCAGCAGAGTTATCCCCTGGGTGTACTCATAATTGTCTTGTCTTCTTTTGGTGATTAAGCTCAGTTTCATTTCAGAGTTAACAGAGGTTCAGGAGAGGAATTTAGCTTCCACCCTGATCCAGAGCTCTTCAGAAGTCCCTCATCTACAACACAAATGCTGATTGGAATGGTAAAATAACACTTTGGGGGGAAAAAAAAAGTCATTTTTTCACAGAGGACTATTCCTTCACCATGGCTACACAGAGAAATCTCCAGGAACACACATTTTGTACCAAGTAGTGTTCTCTTTCTCTGAAAGGAGACAACTTCTGCCAGTGTATGAGATGATGGACCAGACTACAAGGCTATTAAATAAAGATACTACTATGTTATTAAATAAAGATACTGTTATTATTTAAGGTAATGCAATTTATCCTATAATCCAGACAGTTTTTCTGAAGCAATCCCTCATCAAGAGACTCCCCTCCTGTCTCTGGAACATTTCAGATCTCCACACACAGAGTTTCACTGGCACCAGTGCTAACAGGCAAATCCATCCACACCTTGTTTCCACATATCCTTTCACTTCTCCCAGCTGGGAACAGAGCTGACCAGCAGAGGATTCCAGCTGACAGACTTGAAGTGGATGCACCAAATTTGGGGTTCTTGCTTGTTCTCTAGGGGAAGTTTGAGGTGGAGAAATGAGAAACTGTAAGAACCATCAAAGGAGAAGCAGCCTCAGCCTCCTCATTCCCAGCCTGCCTAACACATGGATGTTTTCTCTCTCCTCTATATTGCCTAGTTTTGTGGGATTTCTGTTTTTATCCCTTTTCTCTTCATTTCACAGTCTGTGCAACAAGTGCTACACGAAACAAAAGCACTGAGAAACCAAAATAACAGGACAGAGAGTGGAGCATAGGAGCAGATTAAGCTTTTTCTCAAATTAAGGTTACTCTTAACATTTCCTACTATAATCAAACCCCAGACTGAACGACCTGTCTCCACTAGGATTTGTGTGTTAATTGCAAGCTGCAGGCACTGCCAGCTTTACGAGGCAGTGCTGCCTCCTCGTGTTCCTGCTCAATCCTCCTCCCAAAGGAAAACACTGGCTACAACTCCATCTTGGCAAACAGTAACTTCTTTCACTTGTCAGAATCGTAATCATTTCAGTGTTCTGGTATTAAGTATCAAGCTATGGATCTCAAGTGGATGGCGGGGCAAAAATTAGGACATCACAAACAGAAAGGACAAAACTCTAAGTGAAACCAGCAAGAAAAAGCTGATTTAAACACCAAAATTACTGTCAATCTTTTCTTTTAACGGCAGAACTGATGTCCCAACAAATTCCAGGTGCTCACTTAAGCAACACTTACAAAGGTAAGGTGCAGAGGTTCTTCCAAAATAGAATTTTTGCGGCAGTAAGTAAACCAGGAGATGATCAGCATGGAAGGAAAAAGCAGGAGAAAGTCACGAGCAAATAAACATCTTTCATTGGAACGATTACTGAAGTCTTCAAAAACATTGCTTGCTATTTCCTAGTCACCCCACCCCAAAGGAATTCTCTGTGGAACACGTGAAAAATGTCTGGTTGTGCTTTAGGAATAAAAAAAGCCAGAGAATGGGTACCTCACTTGATGTTGCTGCAGCAGAAGCTCTCTTTGGGTCTTTTGTCAGGCACCGAAGGGCCTCCTCCACCTGTTGTGAACAGAAGACACAGCAAAGCCCTGAAGAAAAGGCAGCAGATTCTAGAGGGTGATTTCTTCCCTTTTAGTTCCCCCTTGAGCTGTGGAAACATGCTCAATCCCAGCAGCAAACCCAGTCTGGAGGTGTGACCAGTGTCAAAGGCTGCCACTTGTACCTCATCATGCCATAACCCTTCCCCTAGGCCCGGTCAGAAGGGGAAAAAAAAACCTCAGGGAGTTTTCAAATGCATTTCCTAAAAGCCAGAACACAGAGCATCAGAAGGAAAATGAGGACTTTGTTCACATACCAGGACCAGCTTTCCTTTGAGGTGTGACACCTGGGAGTCCAGACCCTGCAGGACACCACAAAATGCTGTGCCCATGTCCCCGTGCTCACAGAGCTGAAGTGCATCTCTTTCCAGCTGCATTCCCATCAGTTTGCTCTGCCCATCACACTTAAATGGATTTCCTCACACAGCTCACTGGTCTAAAAGAGAAAAAACAAACAACGTAACTGAACCAGCCAAAACACTGAAGACATGACCTAAACCTGAAAGAGGCTGCTCAAAATAGTGCTGGTGAAACTCAGCAGTGACAAGGACTCACCTAAATTTAAGAAGCTGTCCCAAATTTCAACTCACTTCACGCAGCCTCTTCTGCACATCTCCACCTTTCTGAGAGAAACTGTAGAACAAGAGGAGAATTTGGTTATATAAAACCTTGAGTGCAAAAGGAAGGAACCCTGAGCCAATTCACACTGTCTTATTTTGCTGGAATTGATCAGGCAATGGATTATTTCCTCCATTCCTGAGGGTGTGGTGTCAGTTCGACTCATCATTCTGAGTCAATCAGTAAACCAAATCGCTGTTTGCCATCAATTTTCAAACTAATTTATTAACATTCTTGGGTGAAACTTTCAAATATTAGATATACAACTGTGTATTTAAAAAAAATCACTAAAAATCAAGCTCTACCATCTGGGGGAAAAAATAATCACACAAAGCAGGGACAGGAATTTTCTGCAAACAAATCTTGTGTACTACTTAATTCCTGGATATTCTTGTTCATTGGAACAGCACTTGTGAACAAAAATATGTGCATTTACTTTTTAATCTATTAAGAATCAACTTTATGTAACAAAATTAATTCTGCCCATCTAATTTTAAAACTGCAGGAGGACTTCAAGTTAGTTAAGGGGAGACAAGTTTCACTCCTTTTCCAAATCTTCTGGTTTGTTTCGTCAGGACTAACCTAGATGCAGACAGAAGAGAAAAAGAAGAAAAACAATAAAAGAGCAGGAAAGAGACAGAAAGGGGAGTGGGAAAGAGACAGAAAGGGGAGTAGGAAAGAGACAGAAAGGGGAGTGGGAAAGAGACAGAAAGGGGAGTGGGAAAGAGACAGAAAGGGGAGTGGGAAAGAGACAGAAAGGGGAGTAGGAAAGAGACAGAAACCTGTTAGTTTTAAATCAGATGGTATTGACAGGTTTTTTGTTCCATTTATTTTGCATTTTCATGCGTCACTCGCCCTCTGGAGCACTGGTGACCACACCGCAGGCCAAGAGGCAGCACCCGCCATACCTGGCTAACTTAACACCTTTAACAAACCTGACACAGCCGCCCCGGCGGTGCTTCCTGTGGGCACACTGAGGAGAAAACCGGAGTCCTTGGATCCGGAGCCTAACCCTGAGGGGCCAGAGCAGCGAACAGAGGAGAAAACCCCCTCAGCCCTGCCTCGGGAGCTCCGAGGCGCTGCCAGGAGCCGCCTCTCCTCAGGCGGGCCGGGCCCCGTCGCTTTCCCGCCTCAGGCCGTGAGGGACGCCCGGGCAGCTCCGTCCCACCGCGCTCCCGAGGCTCCCAGGTCGCTGTTGCCGACCCAGCCCGCTCTAGGGAGAGCCGCCAAGCTCCTCCCGCTTGCTCCCCACCGGGAAGGAGGCATCCCGAGCCGCCGGCTGCTTCTGGAAGACCCGCTGGCATCACCGGGAATTGCGGCGCCGAGACCCTCAGCCCCAACATGGCCGCTGCCCCCTCACGGCGTGGGCACCATTTTGTGGTCGGGGGCGCCCAGGTGGTTTCGCGATGCTGGTGCTTGAAGCTTGAGAAAAAAATCCTCTCACAGGAATAGGGAAGGGCCTGGATTATTTTCCTTATGATATTTGGCCAGTAAGGTGGGACATTTTGGAGGGGTGACCGTGAGCTGATTCAAGGCAGAAGCTGGGTGAGGAGACTTGGTCCCGTCAAGGAAAAGCCCAGAGGTTCAAAAGCAAAAGATTCGAAGGCATCTTGCCCTAAATCCAGTGCAGTAATAAAAACTGGAATATTTTTTTATTTTTACACCAATCTCATCAGAGAGAACAAGCTTCTGTGATCCCTGGTATTTTCAAGGTGAGGGAGAGGATGCACAGTTAAGAGGTGATCACTTCAGCAAAGGAAATTACATGTCTGACTGTGCCATTTTGGATCTCGGTTTCAGGAATGAACACACAGGTGTCCATAGGCTGTCCCTTGTTTCAGATTATTCAAAAGATCACATTAATACAAGTTTCCAGGAACAGGTGCATGAACTATGCCCAAAACAAAATCCTGAGTTGGAGAGATGAAGTCTGAGAAAACTCAAGAGACAGAAAGGTATGTTAATTTGTTTAAATATCTTCCTAAGATATAAAACACATAACCATTCCTCAAGGGTACCACATAATTTTCATTTACAAGACAAAAAACCATCCACCTGGTGCTGAAAGACAAAAGGAGAAAAGTGGTTTTACGTGAACTACTACAGAAAAGCAAGAATTAACCAGCTGAGAACAGACCTCAGCTCTCCATTCCCCTTGCTGCAGTGCAATCCCAAGTGGAAAACAGCTCAAGGGAAGGACTTCTATGGCACCACCTGGAAGAGGCAGTAACTAAAATATTAAGAGATAAAAGAGTGTTTAGGTAGATACAATACGCTGAAGCTCTACGATATCCACAAACGATATTTTAATCCTCCAACAGTCCCAGGTGTTAATAAAGCATGAAAGCTCACATGGGAGCGGAGCCAGCACCTACCTCTGGCAGGCAGCGCTGGGCTTTGTTTCTCCGGGATTTGGGAAGGGGCACTGAGGTTTTGTTCCTAACTGTGGGGCTGGGAAATAAGGGAGGCATTCATCCCCCCGCCTTTGCTCCTGGCTTTTCCGCGCTGTGGGCTGCCACTCCAACTTCTCGAGCCCGGCTGGGAGCCACCTGCTCCTTACTCCTTACTTGTTCCCTCTGCTCCCTACTCGGTAGACTTGGGAACAAGCTCCTCCCTCAGGAGCCGGTCGTGGCATGAAGGAGAGCCAATAAACGCCGTACGCAGGGCTTGATTTCTCCCCCAAGTGTCATTCAATTTGATATCTTTTCCTCATCGGGAAGCACCCGGCAAGGTGCAGAATGACACCTGTGACTGCAGGTGGTTTTTTTTGTATCCCTTGTTTCCTGGGAGTCCGGGTCTGGAGCACCCAGCAGCCCCTGTCATTCTTGAAAGAGAATAATTCTTTAAGGATCAAATTCCCGTGTAACTTTCCTCCTATTTGGGAGTGCCTCTGAAAAGGTATGGAGATGCAAGTATCAACTGCTTGTGTTTAAAATAATCCGGGATAGAGCTTCAGAGGAAGGGATTGGAGTGATTTATGCCAGCAGAGGCTACTCACATACCTGGGCCATACCCACCAGCCACTGCAGAGTTGGTTAAAGGTTCTAACAGTGGCACTAATTGTTCAATCATCATCTTATTTGGGGTGGGAGCGTTGTACGGTTGTGGTGCCTCTTTTTTGGATTCCCTGATTGGAACTCTGTTTTCAGCAGAGTGGTGACATCAGATAGATGAGAATTCAGATGCAGGGGGAAAACCTGTGATTGTGAGTTCAAATGCCCTGGGCTCACGTCCTTGGGTTGTGGCAGCACTCGTGCTCCCCTTGGAGGGGCAGATCCCTTCCTCACCTTGGCTTGTTGCTCTCCAGTTTGCTTTGAGGAGCTGAGCGACACAGCAAAGCTCCACATTAAATGGACAATGTCTTTCCTGTTCTCCAAAGAACGTTCTTTCCTTTCAGACTTCCAACACAAGTGCCTTTTCCAACACCAGCAGGATGTGGATTCATTGATTTCACAGGTTACTTCTGTTTCTCAGCTTTGTTATTTCCTTCCATTCTCAGATCTCTGTTTTCCCTTTTCTCTGTCCGATTTTTCACATTTTTACCTCAGGCCTATCCAGAAAAAGAAGCTTGTTCTGTGGTTTGGAATGAAGATGAGCTCAAATCCAACTGGGAATCTGAGTGGAGGTTCCCTGTGTAGCCCTAGGAGTTTTTCTCTGGAAGCACCTTTTGAATGTTAGCTGATGATTGCAATCCCTTTGATACCATGCAGAGCCTCACATGTCTTCCCTGCTGTTATTTCCTCTTTTAGATGCCATACTGACATTTTCCGGAGCTGAGGAGATGGAAGAGTTACATCCAGCCCCAGCTGATTGTAGGTAAGTATAGGAAAGCCATATTTTTGATTTATTTGTTCCTGAATTTCTTTTAAATAAACTTCCAGGGGAATTGGTACCCCAAGAGGGAATGATTCATTCCTGAAGGGGTCCTGGGCTGATCCAGGAGAACTGTGTCTTTTGACACTTGTGTTTTGTTCCATCCTACTGCAGATTTAGGTGAATGGCTTCAGGACTCCTGGGGAGGGGAAGAAGCTGGGCCCACTGGTGCCTGAAGGATGTCCATTATTTGAAATTCCTGACGCTCCTCAGCTCACACAGAGCCCTGCCAGGAAGGAAAAGAGAAGTTCTTCAGTGATAAGACCGAGGGAAAAGGAGCACTGCCTTTTCAGCCTTCTCATGCTTCCTGTATGGCCGTCAGCAAGCCACACCTTGTGTCTCTGTGAAAGGTAGGAGGGCCCACACAAAACTTATTATTATTTTCACAGAACTTCTCTGTAGAGACAAATTGGGAATCTGCTTCCTCTCACCTTCCAAGACAGAACTAAGCAGCGGGTAGATTTAAACTAAGCCTAGGGTTTAGTTCTCCTGCCAAAAGGGCAGTAACAAGTGCGCACAAAATGAGCTGGATTTCCTGTCTTTGATCAGATCAGGCACTCTGAACACTCTGGACAGATCCTGCTTCATTTTTGAAAGGGAAAAGCGTAGTAAATGCCTATTAACTAAGGAAACGTGGGCATGGAAGTCGATCAGCTTAAACTGTGACAATTCCTGGTTTCAGCAGACGAGGGCAGTGTTGCTCTGACAAACTTCGTTTGCAAAAGAATCTTGGAATGTTTGAAGGAATTTAGGAATTTAGGAAAGGACAGAGCCAGCTGCCTCGATTGATGATAAACACAGGGTTTGATTGGGACCTCTGAAAAGTGAAATCAGTGCTAAT